ATTGTTATAGTTTATGAAAATATATCCATAAACAAGCAAACTAAAACAGTTTATTCTTCATCAATATGGGCATTTTAAATTTACAATTGTTTAAATTATCTCCGTAACCGTTAGGTTTACAACAACGCTTCAATTAACAAAATCATTTTTTTAGCTCAGTTTGGAAGGAAAAGTGTGAAATTTATTTTTAAGGGTCGAAAAGAAGAAAAAACAATTTTATACCCCATTAAAGCCCCCATTCCCATGGTCCGATCATTTTGATTTGCGAGCACGTTTGAATTAACGTTGGTTTTAACATTTGTTCCGAATCCCACTTAAATATCATCATTTTTGCTCAAGTTATCGCGCTAATTGGCACATAGACCTAAATGTATACACTATATATGTAAATACATACATATGTACTTATATATACGTATACATGAATTTAAACTGTGGGTGTTTTTGCCTCTGGAGACCTCAAAACGAAAAATCAAATCGGTACCGGGCTCAGGTCTTACCATGCAACCTAAGGTAATAGCTTATTCCATATAGCGAAAATTCGCTATAAGGAAGAGAAAACAAATTAATTCCCTAAAACTATCGTTTATGGATGGCGTATTTTAATTTATAAATTTTTAGTAATATTTTGGATGAACAAATCTTTGGCGAGCTATTGACATTGAAGACGACACACAGCATTTGAAAAATACACGAGGTTTTGGATTCCTGTTATACCAGAAGAGTTAAATCTCATATATTCTACAGCACACATGTCAACACTTATTTTGTCGATGACAATATTGGTATTTTAAAAGCATATTTACCATTTAACAAATCCAGTCCAAAACTGTACAATATAGATATGAAAATAGAGCAGCAAAGGGTGTGTGAGCGAGCGACTTGTCGCCTAGTATGGCCGGTGCCATAAGATAACATGGGGAGCGTATTTGTCGCCGAGACCGAAAAACGCTCCCGGTCGCGTTTGTTTTTCTGTCGCCAGTGGACGCAGGTCGCGAGTCGCTTAGTGTGGCCGCCTCCATTTAATTTAATGCAACGCACTTTCATTGATTGACGCAGCGACTTTGTCGCCGCGACAAAGTCGCCAAGTGTGGCCCTAGCCTAAATAATCTTACCTGGATGAATATATATTCCTTTGTTTTTTTAAGGTAAGGACTTGTCAGAGTGGGTGTAGCAAATGTTTTGGGGGGTTCGGCCAATATTTAAAATATGTGAGAAGTAAATAGTGTCATGAGACGTAGCTTTCAGTGTTTTGCCAAACGATATTGTCTTAAAGATAGTTAGGATAGGAGTTTTATTGTTTTAGTTCTGTTCCTGGATTGTAACTTACTGAATTATTTTATCCTCGTCTGATAAAGTGAAATTTAAATACTCCATAAAAAACTCAACAAGTTGAGCACAAATGACTCCGACACAGTAGGAACACGTTACTCAAGACACTTTTTTTATTTAGGCCTATTTCATTGAATGGGGGTCAATTGGTTTAATGGACATTATAATAGATTAAACATAATCCCTCAAAGACTTGTCTTCAATTTGAAAGTCAGTTTTGTCCGGTTTATGAAGAGGGGTTGCTGTTTATTGTTTGTTTCTTGTTGATTATTCATGGGGTAAAAATAAGGGATTTTTTGGCCGGGGTATTTTTTGTTTATCCAGGACTTTTATTGTAAGCTAGTCTACAAAACCTTAAGTGGTTAATCATAACATTACGTTAGTTTAGCAATTGCTTGTCTTTCAGTATTCCAACATAGTTTTGGGTATATATTAGTTCCAAGTTTTACTGAATTGTAATCTGTGGTACCTGATCTGGAGGAATAACTTAATCAAATATGGCCTGTTATCTATTATTATGTAATACAGTTTAGCATGAATGATAATACTTCTTGTACACATACACTATATGAAAACAGAGAGTTCTACCCAGGTAGGGGTTTCATGTAAAAGCCCCAACGTGTATTTTGTCATAGGTAAATGAGCCTCATTTTATTTAAATGAAGTTAGCCTGAGACATTTGCTTAGGGATTAAATTGAATCCCACTTATAAACTGTAAATAGACGGTTGGTTATTTAAGATCTGAGATAGTTCTTTTGGTATTTTGCATATGCTAAATAGGCTACAAAGTTATATAGCCTTGAGTTTCATGAACATTTCAAATTGTCATCTTTCTTTCACTGTGTTTGAGGTAGATTTACATTATGTCATAATGTGATATTGTGTATTCAGCATCGAGGGTCAAACACAAAATGCAAGAAAGTTCGATTTTTGAGCTGGTCCTTCAAATAGCACACTCACCCTATAAGGTTGAGTTTGGTTATTTTGAGTGCTAAGCCAACTTTAACAGATGAGTTACAGTCGACATCGGAAGTAATGTTTTTTAACTTCAGCAAATTATTTTTTCATATCATCAAGTTCTTAACAACAGTTTATAACAAAAGTTTAGTGATAGTGTTTGTGTCATTCATATGATTTGCTTTTTTCGATTGAAAATCAATACTTAAATAAGTTATGTTACCTTTTTAACCGACTTCCCCACTACCAACAAAAGGAGGAGGTTCTCAATTTGTTTGTGGCGATGTTTTTTTTTTCTATGTATGTTCACCAATTTCTCTGCGATTCTTTTACCGATCAGTGTGGTTCCACCATCAAAATAACCAGGAGAGTTTCTATTTGGTACCTTATATATTATGTTTAAGTATAATATTTGTTTCGGTGAAAAATTCGGAAAACCTTAAATATTCAACATTTATTTTGTTTACATTTGTGCAGAGAAGGCAATAAATAATAATAACATTCCTACAGCTGTTAGTTGAAACCATTTAAATGAAGCTACAGACAATTCTTCTTGAAACAGTTGCTTCATATTGATCAATAAACTATTTCTTGCCATGGAGCCTAAATGAATTACATTGAGAAAAATGCATTTTGTTTTGGTTACTATAAAAAATGTATTTTAACGTTTGACCTGATTTGTGTATACAGTAATTCTGTTTTTAGTATTGAATATTCTGACTTACAAAAACATATATGTTTCAGTGAATAGCTGTATGATATTGACAAATAAAGGTGTATTGTGAAAACCAAAGCATTCGCAAAACAGGTCTTAATATAAATCAAATACAATTATTCCTTACACGACCTAAGAAGTATGACAGTGCATAATCGTCAATTGTCTTAAAAGTGTTAAATATTTTAATTACTAAACATGCATTTGCAGATGTGGAATGTTTATTGATATTATCTACCCAGTTACTATATCATATCAATACTATTATGCCTGCTTCGGAAAGTCCTAGAGGAAGATGATTTGCAATTTCGACTAGGCTATATCTTGATCAAACAAAACCCCCTACATGACTTACACCACTTTTAGCTGAACCAATCTTTCATATAATACATATTTTCCAAAGGTACTATACGAAAGGTACTATGGTGTTAACGACCAATTTTCCACTTTTGAGAGATTTTTTAGTGCTGGTAGCTGAGGAATAACTTTCATATTGCTCCAAAAGGCTTGAGACGTTACTGTATTTCTTTTTATAATGTAGAAGTACACCGATTGCAGGAAACGATGATGTCTGACATTTCAATGTATCTAGAGAAGACAATTAGTTTTTCATTAGGCCTAATGTAATGGACAACTCTTTCTTTCTTAAGGAATATCTAAAGATGTTTATTTTCATACCCATTGATTATGTAACCTGAACAGGTGACTCAAGCAGTTTCAAAATAATGATTGTTCTGTGGAACTTTTGATTGTTTCAAACAGTTTTGCTTATCAAAAATCCTCAAGTAATTAATATATAAAAAATTATACAGTCACTAAAAATCATGAAATAATTTATTTTTGTAAAAAAATACAACCGACTTCAAACGCTCTAAAAAGAATGAAATAATTTCAATAAAGTACACTTTTGTATTAGGCATGCTCACGTATTTCAAGTCGGCGCGGCTCAAACTGTAAATATGATTGAAATTAAATATTGTTTGTGTATTTTGAAAATCAATAAATTGTAGCTGGATAACATAAATATATAAAAACACAATGAACTGTTTTGTTTACATATTAGGAAATAATTTCTTGTATTTTATGTTTACTTCAGAATAAATGCATTATAAAAATAACACGCACAAATGTTCTATATGAATAGGAAAATAATTTAGTTTGATATTATGTAGGGAAAAGAAGCTAGTTTAGTATTAAAACGTTACTTTTCCAAGTTAGAAACATTTAAATGCGTTATAATCTTTTCAAAGATACTCGTTAATACAGTACCACTATAATGCCGATCTTTGATTACGGTGATAAAATAACACTTAACGCATAACTATGAAAAAGACATGCAGATTAACACCTTTAGTTATAGATAGTTACCTGAAATATGGACACCCTCTTTCAATTTTGTATCAAAAATCATCATAGAGCCGCGCCGACTTAAAATACGTGAGCTTGCCTAATACAAAAGTGTACTTTATTGAAATTATTTCATTCTTTTTAGAGCGTTTGAAGTCGGTTGTATTTTTTTACAAAAATAAATTATACTTCTGTCAATCCTTAGGTATATAGTTTTCTGACGATTTTAATTTCAAGGCTTAGGTTGCTTCATTATTACATTTTCTGTCTCCTCTATTGAAAACTTTGAGTTATTGTCATAAATAATAGATTTAAACGTCTCCTATATTGAAAACATGTAGGCTAATCGTCATATATAATGAACTTTCAAACGTGTTCGGCCGGTCAAAAAATTCCAGCTGTGGACAGATGCTGATGTGGTATCTGTGTGCTTAAATGTTTTGTTCATACTGTATGTGGGCTTGGTTATTATTTATAACAATAAAAAGAGTTCAACATAGAAAATGGGTTTGAAAATTATGCAACCAAAGCCTCTAAATGAAAAAGTCATTGGAACAACCATAAGAATTGAGAACAGTAAAAGTTAAGATGACCTATTTACTTTCAATATATGTTTTCTTGGTAGTTCATAATTTGTGTCTGTTGCAGGCGTACGAGCTGTCTACTCTGACAGGCACCCAGGTGATGCTACTGGTGGCCTCGGAGACAGGACACGTGTACACCTTCGCCACACGCAAGCTGCAGCCTATGATCACCTCCGAGGCTGGCAAGGCTCTGATCCAGACCTGCCTCAACTCTCCGGACCCTTGTCCTTCAGGAGGCTCCGGGGACCAACGCATGTCCGCCACCGGCTTCGAGGAGACCGAGCTCTCGTACAACATCGGCGACGAGGAACAGAAAGTAAGACAGTTGGTGTATCAAAATCCTCCCTCTCATGTGCAGCATTTCCAACAACACCATTCTCCCCACCACCAACACCACATGATGATTCCTCCCCATCCCCACGGACAGATCCCGTGCTCCAGTCCGGGACCTATGTTGAGCTCCGGGTATCAGCAGCAATGTCCCAGTCCGTATCCCACCTCTCATCCTCACATGCACTAGTACGCATCCACTCAGTGTCTACATCCAGATTCATGGTAGCCTCTAAATTGAATATTTTAGACTTTGTCTGATTACTTCATTGTAAATGTTCAGAAATATCGAGAAAATTAAGTGGTTTTTACAACAAAAACTTCATTTATTGGTACATTGAACCTCTTAACTGTCACTCTTTCAACTATTATTTGTACGATTATTCCACGCAGCCCTTTTAAAATAATTTAGTCCACGATAATACTGTAAATACAACCATTCTAGGTCTAGCCTATGTTTAATTCATTTGTGTTCTTTCTTTCCAAAACCATTGGAAATTTCCTAACCAACTATAGTCATTTATAAAGGAATTTCTGTTATCATAGTCCCAGTTCTATGGGTGACAGTTATTATAGGTTTTACAGTACGTTTTAAATTATGATACTGAAAAGTGTTTTTATCATATTTATAAAATAAGTTCTTTTTGATTTTTCCAAGTACACTGAGGATGAAACCACACTAAACGTAATTTAGTAAATTATAATTACTTTTTCTAATTTAAATCAAAAGTAAATTGTGTCTGAGACAAGTATATTAATGGCCTCTAGCCTCGAATACATCAGAAACTGTAATTAAAAGCAAAATGCAGTTCAATATTTGAAAGCATTATTCTGTTCATCACACTGTCATTGTGAAGTAACACAGCTAACAAAATTCCTAAACAAGTAGATTTAGTTTGAAGTAACACTTAGTAAAATTAACATTTTAACAAGTGTGCCGCCATGCTAGTCATACATTCAAGAGGTGATACATGAATCTGGATATTGTTTGGAACGGTTCAGTAACAGGAACTAATCTCTCGACCGTTCCTTCTCTCTCGGTTCTCGATACTCGACATTACTAGGTGCAGAAGTTTTACTTGTCTGTGATAAGAACGTAACAGCTCTCTGAATACTCACAGAGTATACTCGATATTCAAAATATAGCGTACTTAGACTGGTAAATAAATATTTATTTATTAGACGTAATTTTGTTAATATTTATTGAATCGTTTATTTATATAGTGATGTTTATATTTCCGCACTGAGTGGGTGTGTACAATTCTCCCCAGCATGTTTGCGTTGTATTTGCTGATGTTTGATGTATATTGTTCTCTGTATCCACAACTAGCTTTTGTGTTGGGTGTGAAAAGTGTAGTACTTATTGAAACTAAAGAAAAGTCATGACCATGACTCTTTATGGCCAAATAACACATTGAATTGCTTGTTAGCATATACATATATGCTATTAGTTTTTTTCTGGCTTTCAACAAATCTATTTTGCAATGATAACTGTATGTGCATCTTAGTCCTACTTATGTGTCCTTTTACTGAATTCTCGTGCTCTTAATATCATTGAAGCTGACAAGAAGAAACAAATTTAAATCTTAGCTTTAGTTCTTTCAAGTCTCTCTGGCATTAAACTTAAACAAGTCCAATAGAAAATATTTAATGAAAGTATTAGGATTTAAGCAAATACATAATTAAAGTATTACTAAAACACATTCAGAGTTTTTTTTTTAACTATCTCTGAAGTAAATTATCCAAGATCATCAAATGAACGCAAGTTCTAAAAAAATAATGATAAAATAATCTACATTCACAGTTTTACCTTGACCAAACATACCAGATAATATGCCCACTTTTGTTGAATACTAAGCTATTAAATAGAAAAGTTATAAATTTGTGAAATATACATTTTTTCTTCATGTCCTATATTTTTGCTACCGTATATAAAGTATAGGTTGTAAGTAGCTCTTTGGTAAATTTTGTTCGATTTAACATTAAATTTGAGTCTTTAAAATGTGTTGTTGGTGCTTAAAATAAAATTAAAAAACTACAATGCATGATTTTTCTTTGGTTCGTATTTTTAGTTTTTATTCAAAAGATTTACTTTGTGGTGTCATACCTTGTGCAGAAGCTGTTGTGGATACTTATAGCTGCGCAGGCCGCAGATTCTGTATGTCATATTCTGTATTGTGTTGTCCACTTGCCACCCGTCTTCTGTAAATATCTGTTCCATTCTGTGCCATAAGTTCATGTGTGCCATAATAACCATTGCATCATTATTTCTTATTCAATGTTTTCATTGCATTTTTTTTACTAAATTAAAATCTTTTTAGTATTGAATTTTTATTGAGGTTTAAGTATAAAAAAGATTTATATACGTTCAGCTTGAGACAAGCATTATATCATAGGTTTGTACCTTTTGATTAGTTGTGTCTGGAAAAATTGTTGTAGCAAATAATTTTTGTTGTTTTAAATTTTAATACTGTAACTTTTGCAAAGATAATTTTCATACATTTTCCACAGCTTTCAATTTAGCTTTTACAATATTTTCTCTACAATCCACTTTATCCATTGTACAATCCAAGTTCCTGCAGGCGGAGTTCTGAGGTGGCAAGTGTAAAATGTTGTATCTATGTACCATAGTAACGTAGCTTTAGTCTGGCGTTGTGCTATGTACAATTCCTCTCGTCTCGTCCAGATCTGCGACGCTAAATCAACTATGTTTTTATTACTAACTAATTGTTTTATAATAAATATAACTATTTTTACCTAATTCCAGTTTCTTCTAGCACCTGCTACTCTAGTTTTCATGCAATACTATACCAAGCATGCATTATGATGTTGATGGTTTCGACTTTTGTCGAAATGGTAGTTTTTGAATATTTTTAGTGTTTTGAAGATTTAGCTTATGCCTCTGTGTTGTGTGGCTTTTCAATGTTGTGGTAAAGTTTGAGATTTTGAATGCTATATAGTTTGAAAAGAGTGCTCAATCACATTATATATTTTTAAAAGAAAATAATAACCAACGCTGAAAAATCATCCCCTTTTGGGATAGAAATACTTGAAGATGATAACTTAAAATATATCTCCATGCATTCTTGACAATATTATTACAACAAATTAAGTTAATTCAATGGAGAATTAGTAGTTATCTGAATGGTAACACTAATACCAGTATGGTTCTTTAGAAGGTGGTTTAGATTCTAGAAGTGTTGTAGTTTAAGAAGTGATGCAGTGGTTGTTGATTGTTGTTAGAGAAGAAAGAAGAAAGAAGATTTTTGTCATCAATATCGTCTATAATGCCTCTTGAAATAATTAAATTAATTTTCTACAACAGTAGTTATTAAAAAATATATATATATATCTGCATAATATGTGCTGTGGTGCGGTGAAGGCTGTGTTTAAAGCCCCAGCAAAATAAATGCAGAATGAGTTGTCCATATAACATTAAAATACGCTCTGGAAACTAGTTATCACCATATTACCATTGACTATTGGATACTGAAGTTATATATGTTAATTGTTAAAGATATTACATACAGTTTTTTTAATGAAATGAATTTAACCAAGTGAAAATCAAAATATTATTTTGGAGAATATAATATGAACACTGCATAATATGATTAAAATTAAACTGTTCATTAAAAGTTTCATATGGAATATATTTGACAAATATTTAGCATAATTTGAAAGAGGAATGAATATAATGAAGTCTGCATTGATATGACATAAAATTTAACTCAAAATGTTGTTACTTTTCTTGATAATCTGATTAAGCTATTAGCAAGAAGGACAAATTAGTATATCTAGATTGAATAATTTTTGTGAGGTTGTTTGCTAACTTTTTGGTCTTGTCTAGGACATTGATATATAACTACATAGTTATATATCGAGGTCTAGGATTCATAGCAAAGCTTACACAGTACATAATCCTCGACTTATATGATATCCATTTAATGTAACAAAGTAATCTTTGACTGATTTTTAAATAATTTCAAAATCTTTCAAAACTTCAACTTAAAAGGCTTCAATTTTTTTAATTTAGTGGCTATTTTGAAGGTGTATTTTTCAATTTTATTTCAAATAAATTCCAATATGTTTTAAGTATTTTCGCCCTTTACAAATACTTCTCTATATTTGAAAATATCTAAACTAATTTGATATGTCAATAAAAATACTTTTTATTTACATGAGATTATAGATTTTTATTTTATATTGACAATAAATTAGTTTTCTTCCTAGGTCAGGGGTTCAGTTTTTAAGTCAAATAATATTTTATTAATGCTAGCTGGAGCAATAAATAGCCATCAGCAGTAATATTTTATAAATTAATCAAACATAATACACAAATAAGTTATTTTTTCTAAATGGTTATAATTATATTTCTCGACAATAATGCAAGGTAGATCTGTTTAAGAGAATTCAACTACTAACTGTCAGGCATCTAATGTAATAGGACAAGGAATAACAATTCATACATTTTATTTGTTTATTGGTTTTCACTTATTGAATAAATAACATGAATGAATTCAAGCAGAATGAGACAATGATAACAAATAATGACATGAATATTTGGAAATTATCTTATAAATACAACAGTGTGGTTTACATGAGCTGGCTTCTTTGAGATCGGTTTCTTCTTAATACCTGTAACAGAATGATTTTTTAGATATAAATTTAAAATAATAAAAGGCACAATGCAAGCTTAATAATAATTTATTTAACCATATCTAACCATTACCTACTTAGAGATCCAAATTTAATATAGATTCAATTTATTTTGTTTACTTTCACATAATTTGAATTTACTTTTGATTCAGGGGAACCAATTTACAACGTCTGGTTGATTATGTCTTGCTATATTAGAAGTTACTGACATTTGTTACTTGACATTAAATTTGCATCTTTTGCCGTAAGGATGTGTTGAATTGCTTTTGCAACAAAACTATAGTGTTTTTAATATTTCTTCTAAACCAATTTAGTCGGTATGATTTATTT